CATATGTATATATATATTCTCAGTAAATCATTATCTCATATAGACGGCTGAGTTTATTCAAACAAATTGTATTCGAAAGCTTAGAAAATTCTGATTAAATAGATCGAATAAAATAATACAATTTAATCCTAACAATCATCTATTTATAACCAAATGTATTCATTTCTTTCCTATAATCAATCAGCAAGGTGAAAAATTTAAGAAATAATATTAAAACACGAAGTATTTAACTATAATTTAAGTTGTTTAAACACGAGTAAGTAGTCAAAATAATGACTGATTWTATTGTGGCCACTGATCATCATTCGCATCAATAATGCCTGACTCTATAGCTAATTTGCACCGCTACAAAGCGGARAAAATTCAAATTGCCAATTTATTTACCTTTTTTCCTCTACTGGCTTACTCTTTTTTATTACGTGGCTCTACGTGGCTGCAGCATACAGGGATTGTGCAACACGGTGTAAATGAGGCGAGACTCAACTAGGAAAATTTCAAAATTGTGTTTTTTTTTTTAGAAATCAATTCGAATGCAGTGTTTTTATAATATTGTCACTAATTTATATAGTTAATCATTTTATACCGATGTACTTAGTTAACATTTATTTTAATAGGTCAAAAAAATATACCGTTAGAATTGTTAAACATTTAAATTCAACCTTAAAATTGACTTCCTGGGAATTGGGGAATTTTCATACATCCAACTAAACTTACTAAACAATACACTTGACATGTCGATGTATAGCTGTTAAAAATCGTTTTCGTTTCGATTAATACATTGTATTATTATTCTGTGGGAGTTTGCCGAATCGATAACTCAAACAAATCYAAAGACCTTTTGTATTGTTCCCGGCGAACACGCGTCACTCTTGAATTATTAAGCATTTCCAGTTTTGGAAAAAGTTAACAAAAGTCACGTATATATAATATGACTGTCGTAAAATTAATTCTATATATAAATAATAAATAAATAAAGCCAAAATCATCAAACTCAATAAAGAAGGAAAAATAAAAAAATAAAAGAGAAAAAAAATAAAATCATTCTTTCTTAATTTAAAAAATCTATATTGTGGTTTGTGTTGAAGCGGAAAGAAAACACCAAAAAGAAACAGAAGTGAGAAAATAGGAAAATGAATTGTGTGGAAGTATTGAGCTTCCTGTCAAAACAAACGTAATCGTTAATGCGATTCCGAAAACCTTTGTAATTGCGTTGGCGTTTTATACATATAAACTACAAAATATCATGTAAGAACGGAATTATAACAATAATAGCATTAAGCATAGATTATTATAACAGTGATGACGGACATTCAGATAACATCATAAGCGTTTTTATTTTATTTTTTAATTCGCAAAGTTCGGTGTACGTCGAGCGTCCCCCTCCCCATCCACTCGGCGGCATCAAGGCAGTATTCAATTTTATTAAATATAATAAAAAACATATTATGATAACAATTACTGGAATATTTATGTCTACATGCTACATCCGAAATTGGGTTTTTGTTTCTATAAACGGTGTTATTTAAAAAAAAAAAACAATTCAGGTCAAATATTGTACAAGCTTATAACAATTTAATCGAAAATACCATACCATACCATGTGTTGTACCTAGTACCTGTCCTGTCTTACACACGTGTTACATAAAAAATAGACGTTACAGATTCTTACTACAACTCAGTTATAGTTAATTTKTAGTGACATATTATTACTACCAAATTTGTAAATAAAAATATGAACTATGCTCAGATGAAAAGTTTTTTTTTTCATATTTTAATTGCATTATGATATACAGCCATTCAGGTACAGTGACACCTCATATTCGGGTAAAAAGTTCTCTTAACCATTTATAAATAAAAATAACGATAACATAACAATATTAGTGGGCTCGTGACGTGTATATTTGATTTCACCACAAAATCAAAAATCCATGAATCCGAACGTAGATACATAATATTTACATAATACAAACATGGGAGAGTTTCATCCGATTTTAAAAATTCATAATTATTTCTAAAAAAAGAAGATACAGCGGTTAGTAGTAATACTAAAATATTATATTCTTAAGATAGACAAGTTTTAATGCAATTTGACTAGTTTGTTAATAAATGTTTTATGATATTATGACCCACGTATTTTCCACTTGGCGAAATCTATACACGATTTTCGAATTACCACGATCACCGATTATTGTTTTGTATAAATTCGTAATCAGATGAAGTTTTTAAGCAAACTAATTGAAACATGATTATCTTAAGAATGTATTTTASTTCAACCCACCTTCTTTTATTAAAATAGATTATAGATATGATTTTTAAAATCAGATGAAAACTTTTGAAACTTYGAGTTTTACATATTTATTATGTAATATACCTATTATAGTGCAGTGTAATGGAGTTGTTGGTTATTGCATAGCACGTTATAATACGATCATATTTCATAATCTTATACCAGTACACAATATTCATCTACTGCAGCTGTTACAATAAATAACAAACCGGTTAAGCTTAGAYTTATGTTTATTTTTTTCATTGTGCACAAAAAAACCTCGGGTAAGTCCAAAGATTTATATTGTATTATGAATTGTGTTATTGTCGTACACAGGTTTCCGACGTATTGACACCGATCAGGATATACTTTGGAGTGATTGGATCGTTT